AGTCAACACTGGGGCCTTTTCAACAGCCCAACACATGTTTTTTGAGAGCCTGTCAGCAAGGGCTGTCTGGCCAGGCGCAGAACCATGCAAAATGGAACCTTTGTTAATTCTGGTTCTTAGAAAAGTAAATCCATTCACTTGCTTTTTCCCTCTTTTTTTTTTTTTTTCCCCTGTGCCAGGCCTTCAGTTTGGAATTTGCACAAGAAGCTGAAGCGCCCCTGATCCCTAAATGATTGGTCCGAGGATTTGCATGAGGAAGCAGAAATTAATTATTCTTTTCTTTGCTTTTTATTTGCTGTAATTGTGTGTTTAGAAATGAGATTACATTCTACAGCAGCACGAGGGGCTGGGCGGGGGGGGACGGGGGGAGAATTGCTTTGCATCTGTTTAGCTCCTTAGAGTTAAGATCACCTAATCGTTTCAAGCATTTCCTAAGATTCCCTGGCTCTTTCTCTGCTTTAATGGCCAAACAAAGATTGTGCTGCTTCCCGAGGAACTTTCCTGGCAGCTGAGCTCAGCAGTGGGAGCCAGGGGCTTATCCCACTGCTCAAACAGGCTTCTTGCGGCTTTGGGCACAAACCGCATCCCAAAGCTCAGTGGCTCCTTGCATAGGGGAAAGGATGGAATGGATTCCCACCAGCAGCACAGGAGGAATCCAATCACTCGAGGTGAGGTGGTCCTGTCCTGGGGAAGCTGCTGGGAGCATGGAAACACAGAGTCACAGAATGGTTTGGGTTGGAAAGGACCTTAAGGTACGGTTCCAACCCCCTGCTACAAGCAGGGACACCTTACACCAAGCCTCTGTCCAACTTGGCCTTGGAATTTACTACCTTCCTTTATGGTTTCATGTACTCTTGTCATGTAATTTTAACCACCTTATTCGAATTCACTATCTTTGAATAAGCCTCTAATTCTGAACTATTTATGTATGGAATCATAAAATGCTGCAATGCAACGCATGGATCTCCTGGAAACAGGTTACACGTGAACATTTCCATGCTTCGCCTTCATGTTCACACAGCAGACCTAGGAGATTCCCATCTTTTCTATTCCAAAAGTACAACAGTAGATGTCTTTAAAGGAATACCCCCTGAATTCCATTTACCTCCTTTTTCTTGATCCAGGTTTTCAGTTAAGCCAGGGAAGAAGTAAATGCTCACCATCTACGAGAGGCTGAAGTTGCCATGAGGGATAAGAGAGCTCTGGTCTTACGCTTGCTGGGAGATAAGCGAAGCAACTCAGTCCACTGAAGAGCTATTGAGTTGGAGTTTAGCCTTTGATTCAGATCCATTCACGTCTGCAGAAGCCAAGCCTTTAGCCCCTGGCAGAAAGCAAAAGGAGGTTTTAGTGCAGACATGGGCCATGTATTAACTGCTTTCAGAGGTGAGCAGACACAGGACTGAAGAATCAGTGCATTTCCCTCATCATAAGAATTCCAGAGACATCTCCGATGCAGTAGCAGTTACATTCCATTGCAAGGGCTTCAGAGTTTACAACACGGAGGCCAGCAGCATCTCAGACACCCTGAAAACGTATTTGTATGGTTTTATAAACTCCAGGAAAGCTGCAATTGGATAAACCTTGCATTCAAAAGCACATTCTTTGAGAGTATTTCGTATGCACATAAAAGCATCCGAGAAAATGTTAACATCATGATCTTAACTGTTTGCACATTGGAACCAGCTAGAGGTTAGGGAAACGCAGTCCATCTGGTGCCCTGTTTCAAGCAGAGGATTCTGGAGTGTGTTCCCATCAGAGCTTAGCTGCAGGGAGGTGACCCATGGCCAGGCAAGGCAAGAGCAGCAAGCGCAGGGCTGCAGCACTGAGCAGTGCACCCCACTCTGCAGCAGGGGGGTCTGGCTCAAGGGTGCAGAGGGGAGAAGCAGGGACCCCCAGCCCTGCGCTCCCCAGCCCTGCACCACCGGACCAGGGGCTTCCTCCGGGCTGTGCCTGGTTGGTTGTTCAAGCAAAGCCATTAGGTGTTTATTGGCCTTCATTATGGAGTGTGAGAGGGTTAATTAGTTCAGGCTGCTCCTCTGGGAGAGGGTGGCAGGCAGGAGGATGAGGCAAGGTCAGCAGCAGCCCAATAGGCAGGTTCACTTCCCCTGGTCCTTCTTTCCCCCTGTAGCTCTCTTTCATAAGCATACCAGCAGTGTCGGTGTCACATCTGTGCAGATGTGTCCTTGGAGCGTGTTTTTGGCGACAGGGGCAACACTGTTTATAATATATTCTATATATGATAAATATATGTATGATAAATACAATAGATATGTATAAATGTACATCTATACCATACATATACGTATATTTAATATATATTGTCGCAAAATTGCTTCTTTTGCCCAGAGTATGGCACGGAGACCGCTTATTAAATGCATAAACTGAACACATCATTCCTATGTTTATCCCTTCCTCGTTGAACCGAGGTTCAACATTCTCAGCCTCAGCACCGGACGGATGTGAGGATGTTGAACCCTTGCAGATCAGAGAGCCCACACAGGGGCTCCTGCACCACCCCACTGCTTACAGCCTCTCAGCCTGGAAACAGGGAGACACGGGGTGATGGAGGATGCTTGCTGGCCACCAGGAAGCTGTTTGGCAGCTCATCACCCTTCCATGAGTTCATCCAGCTCCTGCCTCCAGCATGTATACCCAGTTTTGCCTGTTTCCATCAGAAACCTCCTCCCTCTGTAAATACAGAGTGGGAAGGAGAGACCTGCAGCCTAAGGAACCAAACCAGCCACGCTGCTCTTAGCCACGCTCAATCCATCCCTTGTCCCTGGGGAAGGCGGAAATCAACTTCCAAGAGTGGGAATCCCAACCCAGAACTGCTTTGCTAGACAAGGCAAGCCTGGGTTCTTCTTCCTTGCCTGTGGCAGGGGTATCCCATCACCCTGCATCAACCATGGAATCTGTGCTGGACACTGGTGGGGCAGCGTATCTGGAAGCTGTGTCCCACAGCCATGCAGTCCTCATGCATAGACATCCAAAGGGGAAGCTGTAACCTCTCCCTGCCACCCCAACCAGGGCATTCTGACTGCTCGGTGCCCCCCCCAAGCCGAGGTTTAAGGGTTAATGTTTCCATGCGGCTCCACTGGCATTGAATTCCTTTTGGCCATCAAAAGTCCCATTGCGGAGGAAGGACAATGCCTTGCACCAGGCTCTGGTGTGACGTGAATGAAGCAGCGAAGGGAATTGCAAATGCTGACACCATGGGGCTCATGGAAGCCTCAAACACTCCCAAGCTGGGCCCCAGCTCTCCCAAGCCGTGCTCAGCATAGGACCATAGGCGAGATCCACCCTTGCTGGATGCATCCAGTGACCTCCCATAGGAATCAGTGCAGTTTCCACTTCAAGAGCATAAAGACAAAGGTTAAGGGCAAACAGAAAGAGGTGTTGTGCCTCTTCCACACCCCTGGCAGCCATAGGCACAGTCTGTCACCCTTCCACATATTCCCTCTTTAGCCTAGCAGCCACTCCTGGGATTTATTTGTCCCCAAGCTCCATAGAGTGAGCAGCTCCTCTGAAAACACATTTGGGATGGGGGAAGCAAAGGTTATCAGCTTCTTAGCAAGAGGAAATGAAGACCACAGCAGAGCACAATGGAGTAATCCCTGCCTGTCAGGTACAAGCTAACAACGGCTGTGGTCCCTGCTTGATTATATCTGCTCCATCTAATGGTGAAAAAACATTCATTTCCACTTAAAAGCCACCCTGTGTGATGTTTAGGAGGGTGATTTCCCTATGGAGTCAGTGCTGAGGGCTTTGAAGAGGGATTCCCTGGAGGGTGGGCATCAGGCATCAGCATTTCCCCATTACTGTGCAGAGGAGCCCCTCTCTGCGGGAATTCTGCCCTGCGATGGAACCACTCCAGACCTGCAGGGCTGGATCCATGGGGCTGGGCTCGGTGTGTCCGCATTGGGGTGCCCCAAGGGGGTGCCAGGACCTCCCAGACACCCACCCCAGGCCTGGGCAGGGCTGATGCAGACCTTGCTCATTGCGCATCCCCACTCAGCGATGCTCCCACAGGGATGCGGCAGGGAATCAGAGCAGGGCTGTGGCGATGGGAGCCGCTCTGACCCGGCAGAGGTGGAGCACGGCCCAGGGCAGCGTGTCTGCACTGGAGTTCATTCCTCCTTGGCATGTCTGGGAGCTCTTCCCTACATCAGGAGGCTGAGAAGAAGCAGCTGCGCTCAGCAAACAATGAAAGCCCCAAAGCCTTTGCTTCCCTTCACTTTTTGCTCACAAAGCGATGATTCCCATCAATCGTGTAAATAAACACGTCCCCGATTAGCTGACTTCCGAACCTCGGAACGGGATCCCATCATCCACCGTTTCACAACGTCCAGAGGAGGAAAAAAAAAAGACTCCCAGGAATGCTGAAGGCCAGAGATCAGCTTCATTTGCACAAGGGGCAGGATTAGGAACGAGGATTACATCCAACTTGCTTCCCAATTGTGGCTGATGTGGAAGACTTTGCTGCTGCAGGACCTCCAGCTCCTGCAGCGTGAAGGGTTCTATGGCCCCCGCTCGCTGCTCTCCCTCCCAGCCAGGTTCACCTTCACCTTAATCGCTACCCCGAGATCCAGGGGCCATTTACCCGCAGCCCTTCCAAACCCCTCGCTGCAGCTCTTAACCTCATGTTACCCATGGGGGTCCCCGTCCCCATGAGGGCAGCCCTGTCCCATACAGGGACAAAGCAGCTCCACAGCGCGTTGGTTACACCCGGACACCGTGAGACCCACACCGGTGCCTCCCCCCCCCCCCCCCCCCCGGGACCCCTCTTGGTGCCTGCCCGTGCCGCGGGAGGGCTGTACCATGTGTCCTAGGCGGGGGTGTTCTCTGTGCGTGTGTAATGGGAGGGGGGGAAATGGCAGAGGGGGCACTAGGACCCGGAGGCGCGCATGCGCACTGCCGCCCGGTGAGGCAGCGGCGCTTGCGCCAGGCGCTCTTCCGCCCTTTCCCGGAGGCGCTCCCGACGCTTTTGCGACAGCCGTAGGTGAGCGGCGGCGGCGGCGGTGGTGGTGGCGGCGGTGGAGCGGAGCCATGAGGCCGCAGCAGGCGCCCGTGTCGGGCAAAGTGTTCATCCAGCGGGATTACAGCGGCGGGACCCGCTGCCAGTTCCAGAGCAAGTTCCCGGCCGAGCTGGAGAACAGGGTAAGGCGGGTGCCGGCGCTGCGGGCAGGGCCCGGTGCCGCTCGCTCCTCCACCGAGGCCCGGCCTGTGCGGTGCAAGGGGACGCGGTTTCTCCCTCTGTGGCCGTCCCGGGGGGTGCCGCGCCACCGGCTCCCGTCGGTGAGATGAAGAACGGGTCTGAACGCGCATGGGAGAGGCGCGGTCTCAAGATCCAAAGGCATATCCTGCTTTGGATGTTGTCGGAGGGCAGAAAAGCGGGTTTGGGGGTTATTTTTGTTGTCTAAATGGAGGTGTTGGTCAATTATGGTAAGGGAATACTTCGAATTTGCAGTGAAAAGCCACGTGAAAAGTACCTAAAAATGCTGGTTTTCGGTGCTTGTGAAATGTTGGTGTTTTGAGCTAGTTTTACTCCCCAGGCACGCAGCTGTCTTCTCTGGTAGGAAACTAGAGTGTGTTTGTTACGTGAGAACAAAGCCTGTGTTGTGTGGCTATTGCTAACACTGTCCTCTCTGTGCTGAGCCCCACAAGTACCGTCTCAAGTACTTGCGTTTCTTTTCATGCTTTTGGATGTAACTGACAGCAACAGACACTCCTTGCGAATGCTTTTTCTTGCTGCACTTTGCTCCTCTTCCTCGTTGCTTTGCTTTGTTCTGAGAACTTGTTTGACCAGCACCAAGGTGTTATTGATATAATGTCAATACAAAAGACTTGCCTCTGTCAGTCCACTCCCAGGCTGTTCTCCTTGCACGTGAGTTAAGGCCCCCCACCGCCCCCCAATTGAAATGCATGTTGTTTTAGTTCTGTTACTTTTAAGTGCTTTGTGTTCATGTTGTGTTGGAATCAAGACTTGGTCTCATCACTGGGCAGACCCTTAACAAAGAGCTACAGGTCTGTAACTCGGTGTCCTTCAGACTCTGGCTCTAGACAGCGGCTGTGAAGTGTGGAAGTGCAAATAAGCACTAAATGAAGGTAGATGCCTGAAGGTATCAGTGAGTCCGTAACGTGCAGGGTGTGACAACTGAACGTGACTTCTCTTGCAGATTGATAGACAGCAGTTTGAAGAGACTGTCCGGACGCTGAACAACCTCTATGCAGAAGCTGAAAAACTTGGGGGCCAATCCTACCTTGAAGGATGTCTCGCCTGCCTGACTGCCTACACCATCTTCTTGTGCATGGAAACGCACTACGAAAAGGTGTGCTGCTTTCTCTGCCCTGGTAGGCAAAGGCAGCGTGAGCGAGTCCCATGGGCTGCAGCCACCCTTGTGTCTTGGTGGGTTTTCTGTTGTGACCTGCAGACACATTCCCCGCAGGCTCTGGACCTTGTTGCAGTGTGATTTCATAGGTACATTAGACTTAGGTTGAGTCATGTAATCATTGCTTGTACATCAGGAATCCTGCAAGTCCTGTCTCGAGCTGTGTGCTCGATTCCCCTAACGTTGGTATTGCTGGGGCTTGAACACTGATGTAGGGAAACCCACTGACTTCTGTGCTGCTGTGTTACCAGGTTCTAAAGAAAATTGCCAAGTTCATTCAGGAACAGAATGAGAAGATCTATGCTCCTCAGGGCCTCCTTCTGACAGACCCCATCGAAAGAGGACTAAGAGTTGTATCCTTCTGGGGTGGCTTCCACTGCCTCCTGGTTTGTCCGTCTACGATGTGCTTGATCTCAGTGTGGCACCCTCTGGTCATGCTTATCTGTGGCACGGCAGAATAGGTGTTTAGTCTTGTTATTCTCCATCGTGTGCTATTCTCTGGTCAGATTTTGGTACGTTAAGATTTGTTGCATCAAAAGACAATTAAAATGCAGTGTTGGAACCTGTCCTTTGAGGCTGCCTTGAAAACCCCATATGTATAAATAGAGTATAAACTACCTCTATTTCAGTGACCTCTAAAAAGGCGTTTGTCACATTGAGGCAAAAGTGGCCAACTTGGTAGGATAGAAGGTGATGATGTGGAAGCAGGAGGTGGCTGTTGTTTCATTTGCAGCCCTGGGCTCAGGTTCTGATGACGGTTTTGCTGTGTGTTACCACCATAAGTTGACAGCAGCCTGGCACGTTGTTCTGCCGTGGCTTCTTCCAGCCTTTTCAACTCTGGAACCACACTGCAGGCATTTTATCTCGTCGTTGCCTCAGCAGTTGTAAAGATCTCACATGACAAATCCAGCGGTAGCATGAGGAACACGTATCATTGACACTGGAGAAGCTTGAAACACAGCCTTGCCCCTTAGATGCATGCTAAGGGCAATTCTTTGTGGTTGGGTTATTGTGTATTTGTCTAAGCAGCTTATAGCTATCACCTGCATGATTTCATTATCCTCAAGATGTTTTCTGCATTGTTCTCTGCATAAACCTGGGAAAACACAAACAGCAAAACCCCAAAACCATTCAATTTCAGTAAAAGCATCTTCCATTTGGTTAGTGACTTAAGTAGCTGGAGTATGGAAGTGTTTTGTCTACTGCATGGCTTTTCCTGACGTTTAATAGAAGGTGGCAGGGCTCAAACCCATGCAGCATCTTGTGTTCTTGCTGTCAGGACACACTGACCTAACCTGGCATTTCTTGTGTGCTGTTCTGTTTGCTTTGTAGCTCTGGAAATGAGCCTTGAAAGATCAAGGGTTCCAATATCTTATTCCCTCTTTTTGGTTATATTTTCACAATCTTTTTACAGTGTGTTTCCCTAACAGCTTTTCTGTGCAGATTGAAATTACCATTTATGAAGACAGAGGTATGACCAGCGGAAGATAAAACTGTGGAGTGTCAGGTACATATTAACCTTGTACTAGATCAATCTCAACCCATCTCAGCCTGGTTTCTGTGCTCAGAGGAGTAGATTCTGTCATACTGAGGCACAACGGTGTGTAATGAAAGGCTGTTCACACAAATCTTGTGTGGACCAGCTTTTCTGAATGAGTGGAAATATCAATACTTGGCATAATGTCACTGAACATCAATGCAGATCAGACAATACCACATTCACATTTAGGGACATTTGGGTCTTGACTGGATAAGCATGCATAAACCTGACTAGTGCTGTATCATGTCCAGCATTGTCCTCTGGTGTGTAGATAAAAGGATCTTTCTTATTGTCATGAAGTCTGTCATAAGGTTCTGAGCAGACTAACTTAAGACAAATCTAGACTTCAAAATAGGTCACTAATTAACTGCTTGGTTTGGATTCCCAAGCAGCTTTTGTACTAACAGCATGAGAAAAATCATGGATGGTGCTAAAATCAGCTCAAACCTGAACTGGCTCCCTTGCCTTAGGTACTCTGCAGAGCCTGGGGTGCTTGTCTCAGTCTAGCTTGTTGGCAGTGTGTGCAGAAAAAAGGCTGCAAATACTTCTGCCTGTTATGCAGAAAGAAGTAAAGGGTTTATTTCCTGTTAGACAAATGGAATCCAGACCCTGCCTTTCCTGCCACTGCTTCCTAAGATAACAAAATCCAGCCACGGCAAGGTTTGTGTAGGGGGTTGTTGGGTTTGTTTAGCAATACTTTCTACTAATGTGAAACTTCTTTTCTAGCAGATAGCTCAACAGTGGACTTGCTGTATCAAAGTTCCCCTACCTCCTACTTTAGAGCATCATTCCTTTCTTTGCTGCCAGATCCACAGTGCCATCTACTACAAGGACTAACTTCCTCAAACTGCTCCACGTGAGGTGACCCAGCTGGTCAGCATCCATTTTGTGGCCAACTTTTAAGCAATGAGACAATGAGATCACTTTTTAGGTGTGTTTTGGTTTTAAGGGGGGCAGGTGTCCCCCAGAAAAAAAGCAGAAGTGGTAAAGCTATTTCTGAAAGAAATGGGGCACTTTGCCCAGCAGCAGGCTAGTTTTAGTCACGTACGCGCAGTGCTGTTCCTCCCTAGTTCTTAAACCCTTCTGCCCATCAGAAGCTCTGGAAAGCTGCAAGCTGGAGTTGGGAATTTCCTTCCCTCCAGGTCAGTGTTGGAGTGAGGGGACGCACAGTGCCCCTGCCTGGCGAGAAGGGACTCAAGGCAACGAGCGTTTAATGCTTCCCGTGCTGATTCTCATGGAAAACCCGAAGGCAAAGTGTTCCTTGTTTTCAGTGTTTCAGTTGTCCCTAGGAAGGGGAGGAATAGCTGGACTTTGAATACTGGTGTTTTTTTTACTACTGTATCCGTGCTGTTATTGCATCTGTCAGTGCTCGCCAGAAGAGGGGGTCTATTCATTCAGAAGCCAGTAAGTACATTAAAATGGATGCTGAACCAATAAACATAATGACACCTACCCTTCCTCCGATTAATATGTGAAGTGTAAAACTGTTTCTTTATGGATTTATTATCTATAATTTATAAGGAAAACACTGATTTCACAAACTGTTAGATATCGTGTAAGATGGTTTCTTAATCCTGTCTGCTGGCACACTCTTGGCAAGTAGAACTGTGCATTAGTATCCCCCCTGCATCGACATTCCTCAGCAGTACCTGCCAAAGTAAAGTTCCTACAAACCAAGCTGGCTTAATATCGTATCCTTTTCCCTTATCAAAGCAAGGATGTCCAGGGTTTGAATGTCACTGTCCAGCTGTAGAAGGAATCCAAGGAGCTAGGAAAGCAGCATGGGAGCGCTCTGGCTGTCGGTGGCACTGCAGGTGCTAATTCTGGATCTGAAATTCCAGCTTCTTACTCAGCCACTGATTATTTTTTTGTTTCTTTTGATATTTAATATTTTAATTGTATAAAACTTGTTTTTTTTCTAAACTGTAACAGTGTTTGCCTTTCACATCTGTTGCGATATTGGCAGAAGGACTAATGGATTAGTAAATCTTTTCTTAAACCGTGTCTGGTGTCCTATGTGGTCGCGCTGCTCCGCGCCAAGGAGCGCTCTCGGGGCCGTTCTCCCTCCCGAGGCAGAGGGATGTCAACGCACAGAGCATGCTTTCGGGATCGGTTCTGGAGTTTTGCTCACTTTCGGTACCGTTTTGTTCGCTTTTGGTACCATTTTGAGCTCCTTTGATACAGTTTTGTTCACTTAACACCATTTTGTTTGCTTTTGGTACCGTTTTATTAGCTTTTCATACTGTTTTGTTCACTTTTGATACCATTTGTTCACTTTTGACACAGTTTTGTTCACTTTTGACACAGTTTTGTTCACTTTTGACAGAGTTTTGTTCACTTAACACCATTTTGTTCACTTTTGGTACAGTTTTATTCACTTTTGGTACTGTTTTGTTCGCTTTTGAGAGCGTTTTGACCCCTTTTGACAGTTTTGTCCCTTTTTGTTACCATTTTGCTCTGCCACCATTCTGTTCGCTTTTGGTACCGTTTTGGCTCTTTTGATACAGTTTTGTTCACTTTCGGTACAGTTTTGTTCAGGTAACACCATTTTGTTCGCTTTTGGTACCGTTTTGTTCACTTTCGACGCAGTTCTGTTCACTTTTGGTACTGTTTTGTTCGCTTTCGACAACGTCTTGTCCCCTTTTGAGAGTTTTGTCCCTTTTTGTTCCCATTTTGCTCTATTCCGACACCGTTCTCTTCGCTCTGGGTACCGTTTTGTTCGCTTTTGGTACCGTTCGGTTCATTTTTAACCCCGCTTTGTCTGCTACCCCCTCTCGGAGCTGGCAGCCGCCATCTTGTCCCGACGGGGCGGGGCGGGGCGGGGCCGCGCCTGCGCGGAGAGGCCGCCTCGAGTGGCGGGAGGCCGCGGCGCGATGGCGGCAGCGGGCGCTGAGGCGCCGGAGCGGGACTCGGACGGCGGCGGCGAGGAGCTGGAGCTCACCCCGGCGCAGCTCATCCGCAGCCTGGAGCAGGTCTGTGGGCCGGACCCCGGGCAGGAGGCTCGGAGCGGTGCCGTTGTGTCCTCGCTGGGGGCCGCGGCACGTAGCAGTGGCTTACAGTGTGCACCCCCCCCCCGCCCGCCTCTTCCAGGCCTGGCTGAACGAGAAGTTCGCTCCGGAGCTGTTGGAGAGCAAACCGGAGATCATCGAGTGCGTTGTGGAGCAGTTGGACCATATGGTGGGTGCTGTGGGGCTGAGGTGGTGGGGCAGGGGGACACGGTTGCTGTGGGGGTCCCTGAGGTGAGGCTCTTTGGGTGCCTCTCTGGGCTTGTCTTGCAGAGGATGCTGTGAGGTGCAGAGGGGACTCTGAGGTGCAGAGGAGCAGCTCAGCCTGGTTTTGTGGCCTCTATGCACAAACCCCATCGTCCTCTCCGGTCCTTCTTTGACATTTCAACCGTTTCATGTCTCTTGGCCTGTTCTTACAGGAGGCAAACCTGAAACGGGCAAAGGGAGGAGACTTGAAGGTGAGCGTTCATCGGATGGAGATTGAACGGATCCGCTATGTGCTCAGCAGCTACTTGCGGTGTAGGCTGGTGAAGGTAAGGCTGTGCTGCACAGGGGGTGAGAAAGGGTCACTTCAGGAGTCATTTCTACTCCTGCTTCAATAAGGCGCTCGCTCTGTGTCCTCTGAGGATCACACTGTTGATACCTGTTTAACTGGGAAAAGTCTGTTTCAGGCCTGGCTTTTGTCTCACTATCAGATAGAGAAGTTTTTCCCCCATGTCTTGGAGAAGGAGAAGTCTCGAGCCGAAGGGGAGCCTTCCATTCTGTCACCAGAGGAATTTGCTTTTGCTAAAGAGTGAGTAGGTTTTGGATGCATCTCCCTCTCTTTTGTAGGTTATAGACCTCACTGGTGTGGTACCCTCAACAGTTCTGGAGCCTGTTTGCAGTGAGAATCACAGGTTTTACCAGGAGGTTTCCTTATGGACAGAGTGAAATAAAGCAACTCTGATAACACTGAGTCAGTGACCAGGGCAAGCCATGAGTCTTGTCTCTCTCTGTGCATGCCTGGGGCCAGGAGACATCAGTTGCTGGCATTTTGTATTGATGCTCTCCCTGCAGAGTTGTGGTTGATGAAACCAGTGAGTGCTCCAACCGTTTGTTTCAGGTACATGGCAAACACAGAGACCTATCTGAAAAATGTGGGCCTAAAACACATGCCACCCAACCTGCAGAAGGTGGCTCTGCTAAAATCAGGTGAGTACATCCTGACTCCAGGGTCATCTCATGGCAGCAGGGCTGTGGGGGAAGCTCCGAGCCCTGCAGGGGAATGCGAGCCAGTGCTGAGCTTGTCCCTTCAATCCTTTGTCTGCAGTTCCAAAGCCCAACCTGGACTCCTTCGTGTTCCTGCGGGTGCTGGAGCGGCAGGAGAACATCCTGGTCGAGCCGGAGTTTGACGAGCAGAGGTAGGAGGGTGCTTCCCTGCTGGCTGTGGTGCAGGTTCCAGTGGAAGAGCTATCCTGAGCACATGCCTGTCCCTGGCAGGGATTATACCATTGACCTGGAGGAGGGCTCCCAGCATCTCATCCGCTACAAGGTCGTTGCCCCACTGGTGGCCTCGGGAGCAGTGCAGCTCATCTGAGGGTAAGTGTGAGGCCAGGACAAGGGTGGGCCGTGGGTCTTCCCATCCACATTCCCTTTGCATGTGGCATGTCTGGGCAGGGCAGCGGTGGTGTTGGAAGGGGTACCCTCAACAGCATGCAAATAAAGCAGCAGGACATCTTCCCTCTGCTGCTGCTGATTGCCCCCACAGCTCATCAATCTCCTGACGGCTTGTGACATGCCTGCAGTACAACCAGGCTCCTGAGCGAGGGCAGCCTGTGTCACAGCACTCCCTCCAGCAAGGCTTTGCCACGGTCCCCTTGAGAGTCCCAGGGGAGGGCTGAGTGTCACTGCTGCCTCTTCAGACCCCAGGCCGGTTTGGCAGCAGATGTGGGCAGAGTGCATTCATCCTCAAAGGTGAATACAGCCTTTCTAAATAGCAGGGTGCTCTCTTTTAAACCCTCAGCTGTATGTTCATCCCTGCTCCAGTTTATCACTGTTCTTTAAGTGAGGCTAGCCGGTGACCGAATGGTGTGGCAACCAGCTGTGTAAACTACGCCTTCCCCCATCGGCTTTGATCTTGTCACAGGGTCTGTGCAACCCTGGCTGTTTTGCAACTGGCTGATTGCTCTGAGGTGAACCGGAGGCAGGGTGGAGGGGGGATTCCTCTGAACCATCCTTGGCACATGATGCATTGAGCAAAAAAACACCACACGTAAAGATATTTGCTGGCAGAGCAGATCTTGGTTATTGCAGAAGGAGCAGGAGAGATTGGGAACATGGTAAGGATGGAAACTGCAGCTCAGAGGAAAGGGAACATCGTGGGAGAGCCAAGGTTTGGGTGTTTGCACCACTTCCCTGCAGTGGGAAGGGAGGGTGAAGAGTTTATCAGCTGGGAGATGCCCATGAGCTTAGGAATTCAGGGTTTTTCCCTTGAAGCATTGTTATGCAGCCAAACAGCATGCCTGTGCTTCCTTGGAAAGGCCCTGCCTTCAGGGAAGGGAGGCTGCATGAGCTCTGTTCTGCCCATGCAGTCCCAGTGTGGATACAGTTGTGTCTGATGTGGCCAGAGAGGAGCTTTTCCTTGGCATTTTGGCGAGAGCCATCCCTTGCCATGCAAATATCTGATGTTTGCCTCCAGAGCAGGCCTGGATTTGGAATTGCTGTCTGGCCCTTATGCTTGTAATGGCATTCCTTGCCCTGGGCTGAGGAGTGAGCACCTCCTGGTCACATTGTGAATGATGCAATCACAATCAAAGCAGCATTTACAGGTTTGTCACAAACCTCTTCTTAACCAGAGCAGCTGGTTCACTCTTGGGCTGCTTGTGCCAGAGCCACACGGTCTTTGTATTGCCCATGTAAAGGTGGTGGTTGCATCTGTGGTCCTACTGCAAGTGCAGACTTCGCACAAAACCAGAGCATGGAGGGTTTGAGGGGGGGCATGAGGCCCTGATGCTTTTCCAGCCTTTTCCAACCTGCTGCTTTCAGCTGCCTGACTTCTGGGCGGTTGCACCACTATTGTAGCTAATCCTTAGCTCAGGGCTGCCTTGGTCAGTGAACTCCAGACAGCGTGGTCTGTGTGATCAGCAGCTGAGGGCTGTGGAAGAGCTCTGAGGAGCTCTGAAGCTTGTGGTGGCCTCATGTTGTTCAGAAAGATACTGAAGGAGGCTGGCAGAGCTTTTTCAGAATGATCTCTTGCTGCAGCGTGAGAATATGAGTCTCTTTTGTGTCACCTCCTCTGCTTTGTATGTTAGTTGTGCTCCTGCTTATCAGGCCAGCACTCTGTAGTTGAGTATTCAGCTCCGTGTGCAGGGGCACTTGGATCAATAGCACAAATGCAAAGCTTCACTTTGAAGCTTGTTTAAGACCAGCGGTGGCCAGTTTCACTAAAACAGAGCAACTGCAGTCATGAGCTCAGGAGAAAGCAGCTTTCTGCTGTGTGTGATGGAGTGAGGGCTTCCACTACAGCTTCTCATTGCTATTGAAATCTCTTTTGCTCAAACAGTTGCTGGAGCAAGGGGGAAAGCAGTTCTTTTGAGCTGGTCACACAGAGGAAAAGCTCCTCTTGACCTGTTGCATGCCTGTTCTAGTTGGAGGTGAAGCCAGCTCCTCCTTTGAGGCAGTGTCTTCCCTGCATGGTGGCCTGTGAGGAGCAGCCTGGTGCTGCTCTGCCAGGCAGGGGGTAACACTCCATCTCGTTTGCATGTGTGGTTTATAGTGCTCCTAATGAATCCATTTAGGTAAAGAAGATTCTTGTAAGTATAGACTTTAAGAGGAGGCTGGGTTTAATCCTGTGGAATCAGTAGGACAGTCTCTGAGGAAGAACTGCAGGTCCTGCCCGTGTCTGCAGCTCTGCAGAGGTGATTGAAGCTCCCAGGCAAAGTCATCACTAATCCCCTGCTGCAGGAGAGCTGTGAGGACAGTGGCTGGTGGCATGGCTGGGGGACTTTCTCCTTGGCCCTATTAAGCTTGATTGAGCGATTGTCCACACCACTGGTACCTGCCCCTCTGCTGCGTCTCCTGTGGCTGCAGCCAGTGGGAGTGGAAAGGGTGCCTGTGCCCTTCTAGGAGCTGAATCCCAACTGGATCTGCTGGTTTCCAGGGTGCAGTCAGTACAGCTCCTCCCTGGAGCCCCTCAGTTGGCACATGGCAGTGCCATCACAGCCTGTACAGGGGTTTGAGGATGGCCATGAGGCTGGAATCAGTCAGGTTCACAGTGAGATTCTCTTGTGGTGTACCCAAGAATGCTGCTGTCTGCTTTTTGTGTCCTCCCATGACTAAAACCGGGACATTTCTGTGCATGGATACTGCCTTACAGTGCTTCTGTCTGTGCTGGGAGAAGTGGAAGTGTCTTTGTCAAGGAAGTGATGCTGTTGGCTTGTGCTTTTAGATGGAGAAGACCCAGCAGTCCATCCACCTTAATCAGTGTCTCTGGGAGAGAAAGTGCAGAGTGAGAGCCACTTTTCCAGCTTCCACAGGGCTCAACTACATCCCCTGTTCTCTGCACCCTCAAGGTGGAGGTGGCTTGGGTTTACTGAGTGATTAGCTCTAAACACAAAGTAGGTGGATGGGGACAGAGGTCGCCAGGAGGGCACTGCTGGTGAGCTGTGATTTCCCTGAGCCGGATCTGCTCTCTTGAGGGCAGGGGACAAGGCGGGGTGAGTGCTTCCATTGCAGGGGGGGGCTCTTTCCTGGCTGTGAGGCTTCCCCCAGGTCACTGCAGTGGAGGGGCTAAGGGGAAGGATGTACTGCTGCTTTCCTAGCGCGCCAAGACCCACGTTAAAACTGGCACCAAGGGCCTGTAGTGACAGGACAAAGGGAGCAGCTTTAACCTGCCGGAGCGGAGATTGAGATGAACTCTTAGGTAGAAGTTCTTCCCTTTGAGGGTGCTGAGGTGCTGGCACAGGGTGCCCAGAGAAGCTTTGTCTGCCCCATCCCTGGCAGTGTTCAAGGCCAGGTTGGATGGGGCTCGGAGCAAGCTGCTCTAGTGGCAGGAAGGACACTTCCAGCCCTGCAGCCCAGCCAGACCGGTGGGTCTGGCTCCTGCTCACCCACAAAGGTCACTGTCCTGCTCCACCCCAGGCCAACAGTGACACAAGTGCCACATGTTCTTCCAGAGGGGTGCTCCCCTCAACTCTCGCTGCTCTTTGCCTTGGCCAGGGCAGAGCAGGAGCGTTTTGCCAGCCGAGCGCTGGGTTGGAGCTTGCTCCTCCAGCCATCCTGTGAGGGGTGCCTCAGGTCGTGATGGTGATGGGGAGCCACGTGTAAATGCCCAGAAGGAGGTTGTGTCATGAGCTGATGGAAATCTGTGCTGTCAGCAGGAACAGTCAGGGCTGCTTAACCTAAATGGCTCTGCAGAGATTAGCCGTGGTGCAGGGCGGGGGTGATCTGATTTAGGTGATAGTCCTTTCTGTCAAGGAGTCACATGTGAGCCGGGCAGTGACCGTGGTTTGGGACAGCGCTGGGAGTGAGGGACACCGCGGTGTCTCCTGCCTGCTCCGCGGCCAGTGGATTCCTTTGTCAGGGCAGGGATCTGGGGTAAGACACGACTGAGTCGGGCTCGCTTTGGGGCAGAGGCTGAGCCTGGACTCGGGTACCCGGGGAGCGGCCCTTGCACAGGGACGGGTCTATAAAACCAATTCCCTGCAGCTTCCTCAGGGCCCTGCCCCGCACGCGGTCCCGCACTCACCCACCTCCAGGAGCCCGGTGCTGCGCGCTCCCTCCGCGCTGCTCCTCCGAGGCCCGCAGCCGGGGCGTTACCGGTAGGGCCGGGGGGGGTCCCGGTGCCCCGTTAACGGCCGCGTCCCCCGGGCTCATCCGCGGGGTGGGCGGGGCCTCCCGGGGGCGGGACCAAGCTCCCATTGGGCGCCAGGGGTGTGTCTCCGGCGCTGATTGGTCTCCTCTGTGGGCGCGGGGTGTCCTGGCCCGCGGCGTGCGCGGGACCGCACTGCCCGAGTGGAGCGGAGCGGGGCGGGGAGGCGATGGGAGCGGGGGTTGTGGGGGCCCCCTCTGACCCCGTCGTCGCCTCCAGGCTCCTGCCCGGTGAGCGCCCGCAGCCATGCCGGTGGACCTGGCCGTGCGGCTCTGCCTGGGCCACTCGCCCCCCATCCGCAAGCTGCTGAACTCCTACGAGGAGCTGCGGGGCAGCCGCGGGCGAAAACCCCTCCGGTCCTGCCTCAACCAGAAGCTGAGCGTGGAACCTGAGCCTGAGCGGAGGGAGAACACCAGGAGCAGCAAGGGCCAGAAGAAGAAGAGGGTCGTGTTTGCTGACACAAAGGGGCTCTCGCTGACAGCCGTCCGCTTCTTCTCAAAGATCGAGGAGGACCTGTGTGACCTGCAGCATGCCCTGTCTGACCTCGCCTGCTTCCGACCTTGGCTGCGGGCCTCGCACCCAGAAGCGTGCAGGTATGTGCTGGACTTCCCACAGCCCTCTGCAGACTACTTGGCCTTCCGCAGCCGCCTGCACAGCAACCTTGTCTGCCTGGAGAACTGTGTGATCCAGGACCGTGCCCTGTCCGGGACGGTGAAGGTCAGAAACATCGAGTATGAGAAGAAGGTCATGGTCCGCATCACCTTCGATGGCTGGAAGAGCTTCCGCGACATCTCCTGTCAGTACATACATAGCACATATGGCTCGGCTGACACAGACATCTTCTCCTTTGAGCTTTCCCTGCCCAAGCCGTCTGTCTCCCGTAGGGCTGCAGAGTTCTGCATCTCCTTCCAGTGTGGACAGAAGATCCACTGGGACAACAACCACGGGAGGAACTACAAGATCTGCCACACGGGGGTGATCCGCCCGCCTTCCCGTGCTGTCAAGAATGCGGGCTGGGAGCCCCTCGGTGCTCCTGGGGCGGCTGCCCTGGTCCTGTCCCACCTGCAGAGCTGGCGGCGTGCAGAGACCCAGGCTCCCTACTGGTAGGAGAGCAGAGGGTGCAGGTCCCTTCTGCCTCTGACTGTGACACGGGGGTCTCTGGGGAGGGGGCAGCTGCCCAGGATGCACTCAGGGTTCTGTCACCTCCGGGTGTCTGCTGATCTCCAGGGGTTCTTCTTCCCTGCTGGCTCCTGCTGTGGAGCCTGGAGCCGCTGCCCCCTGTGCCTGCTGCCCGTCGGCCCTCCAGGGCAGGAGAGCGACGAGGAACGGTCGTGACCCGAGGCTGGGCCCCTCGCTGCCACCCAAGTGCCTTGTGTGGAGCCGCTGGGGTCGGGGCCGGGGCCGTGAGGGCGGCGGCAGCGGGACCACCTCTCTGCGGGGCTCCTTGCGGGCAGGCCCCGAGCTGCGGGGAGCGCCTCCGGTCGTTGGTGCTGTACCGGGGAGGGGGGGTGTTAATAAAGTGATGGCACTCGCGAGTCCGCCTCTGCCTGTTCTCTGCCCGTGCTCCCCTTCACCGGCACCACGCGTCCCCTGCCGACACGATGGTGCCGCTGCGCTCCTACGGGCGCGGCCCCGCGGCTGGCGCGCTGACGCCAGCGCACGCACGGCGGCCGGGAGCGCGCACGGCACGGGGCGGGGGCGGGGCCGGGGCCGGGGCCCGGCGGCGGTTGCGGCAGGTGAGTGCTCACCGGCCCGGTTCGGGCCGGCCGGGAGCGGGGCCGCGCTCCCCTTCCCCTTACGCGCGTTCCCTGCTCCCCGTGCGGGACTCGGGCCCGGACCCCGTTCGCACCGGCGGCGCTGGGGCGCCTGCGTAGGGCCCGGCCGCGGACCGTTAACCGGCGCCCGCCTCGGGGAGCGCGGCCTGCGCGCCGCGCGGAGCCCTGCGCCTCACCGAGCCCGGCCCGGCCCCCGGGCGGCTGCGTGCGGTGCCCCCGGTGCCTCCGCTTGGCCCGCGGACACGGAGCGCAGCGGGAATCCGGTGGGAGCCTCCCCGCGGAACCGTCGAGGCCGAAGGTCGCCGGGCCGAGCCCCGGCCCCGCCGTGATTTGCTGCGCCCGGGGGCCGTGTCCCGGTGAATGCCTGGAGCTGCAGCCCGGAGGCAGCCGGTGCCGGGCCGCAGGTCCTGCCCGCCCCGGGGGCTGTGGCAGCGGGCGGGGCTGTACGCGTGGCTCCCCCGGTGACCCCGCCAGGGATGCAGGGGCCGGTCCGACCGGTTTGCGAGCACGAGTCCCGGTGCCCACGGGTGACAGCGCGGTGTAATGGGCAGTGACACGGTAACAACGCGGTGTAATGGGCAGGACACGGTGACAGCGCGGTGTAATAGGCAGGACACGGTGACAGCGCCGTGTAATGGGCAGGACACGGTGACAGCGCGGTGTAATAGGCAGGACACGGTGACAGCGCGGTGTAATAGGCAGGACACGGTGACAGCGCGGTGTAATGGGCAGTGACACGGTAACAACGTGGTGTAATGGGCAGGACACGGTGACAGCGCGGTGTAATGGGCAGGACACGGTGACAGCGCGGTGTAATGGGCCCGGACACACGTGGCTGCGGAGCTGCCTCTCCCCGGACATGGTTTATGCGCGTTCCTCTGAAGCACTGATAGTGTTGGCATTGCTGTAGAGCAGCGCTGAGCCGGCACCTGGAGCACACGGGAGAGCAGGAGGCTGTTCCCAGGCTTTCCTCTGCTCCCGTGTGCTTGTCGGGTCCCTGTTAAATCCCATCCTTAGCGTGATGCTCGGTGGCCTCCTGCACCCCTGTGCTGCAGGGCGCATCCTCCCCTGGAGGGCTGCAGTGCCGGGTGCCAGAGCAATGACTGGTCCCGGTGCCCCGGCCAGTTCCACTTTGGCTCATCGTCAGCAGTAATCCTCCCCTTGGGCTAACTTCCTGTTAGTGACTGTGGTGGGGTGCGTGTACAGGAGCAGAGGAAGTGATGCCTTCCCAGGAATCTGGGTACCTGGTTCCTCAGTGCCTTTGGATGCCTCTGCAATGAGAGGGGTGATAAGATTCTTGTCATGAGGACGGGTTTTCTGGTGCTCCATTGGCTGCTTTCCTGTCCCGGGACCTGACTGCAACACCCCGTGCTCTAGGCGTGGTTCTGCTCCCCCTGAGCTGATGGTATGAAAACACAGCACGAGTGGCACCGGGGGGGGATATTCCCAAGGCAGTGCCAGTGCCAGGCAGTCTGTGGAGTGCCCAGCCTGAGTCTGCTGTCCTGAGAGCCACACTGGGTGATGTGACCAGCTCTGAGAGCCCACTGTCCCTGGCCTGCTGCCGTCCCTCCGAGCTGCGTGACCTGCCTGACTTGGGTTTCTCTTTCCTCCACTAGTGCTGCTGGCATGTGAGCGCCTCGTCTGCCAAGAAGCCAGCCCGCTGTTGGAAGAGCTTTCCAGTGGCACGGGTGCCAGTCGTGTCTCTGACGACCCGTCGGCGTGCGTGGGTGCCTCTGGGATAAAACTTGTTGCAGGCGTCATGCAGGGACCTGCCGTAGTGCCTGTGTCCTCACGGAAGGAACAAGAATAGCTCCAGATACTGCCCTGCAAGTGCCAACTCCCTCCATCTCCTCCAATGCCGGCTCAGGGATGGACTCCACCTTGTCCCTGTGAAGAGGCTCTGCATGCCCTCAGCAGCCACAAGGGAATTCAGCTGCCGACTCCTTCCCAAGCAGCCCCACTGCAGGACTTGCGCCGCGGCGCCTTAGGAGGACATCGGCTCCCACAGTTGTGTCCTTGCGGTGCCCATGGAACCGGTGTGCGTGTTCCCTGTTCCTTGAGCTCCTCAGCCCGCGCTCTCTGAACTCACCGGGGCTCCTGGCAGCCTCTTTGCTTGCTTTCCCATCTTCCCTCCCTGCTCCGGTTGTGTTCCTGCTCTCACAGAGCCCCAAAAGGATGTGAACTTTGGAATGGGGTCTGGGAGCAGGCTGCGGACTCGCTGTGTGTGTGAGACTGTTGCTGACTGACAGGGGGACTGGGTGAGCGCTGCGGGCAGCCTTTGTGTCTGGCTGCAGGGCACCAGCCTTGCCTGGGCCCTTCACCATGTTCCTCCTGCTCCCCTTTGACAGCCTGGTTGTTAACCTCTTGGGGATATCCATAACTGTCCTCTTCACCCTGCTCCTGGTGTTCATCATTGTGCCAGCCATTTTTGGGGTCTCCTTTGGCATCCGCAAGGTTTACATGAAAACCTTATTAAAGATCTTTCAGGTAAGTCCATTTTGCAGCATTTTCTCTGCTCTGCAGGGTCTGGCATGCGGGGGGGAGAGGCTTTTACACCTCACTGAAGTTGCTTGGTGGTGATGGGCTGGTGCCACGTGAGCCATTTGGGTCATCTCAGCCCAGTGCAGTTTCTAAACCACTGTTCGTGGGCTTGTGTTTCCCTGTAATTAATCCATAAGCCTTCAAGTAAAGTGGCAGGAGTGTGGCCCATAAGCACGCAGTGGCACAGGAGGGTGCTGAGGGGAGGAGTGTGCTTTGGTGGGTTAATGTCCCAGGCAAGGCAGTTCTGTGTGGAAAAAGAAGCCAAAAAGGTGTAGGATGTGATGGCGAGGGACAAGCTTCCATCCAGGACGTGTTTGGATGAGGCAGAAGCAGGAGGCAGAGCAGGACTTGCTGCACTGCAAGCCCTGAGTGGTCCGTGGGCAGAACCCAGAGCTCTCAGCATCCTTCTGCTCATGTCTGTAACCTTGTAGACCCTGCATTTCGTCTGTAGACAAAATCCCAAGTGGAATATTCCAGCCTGGGCTCATCCTGCCCCTTGCCTGCCTTTGGCAGGCTGATTTCATGGCCTGTGTCCCAGCCAACACTTCTCCTTGAAGCAAGTTTCTGGTGAGGCCAGAAGTTCGGCCAAACTCCTGGTACCTAAAGCCTGCACCACCCTGGCAGCTCAGGCTAAAGGAAAAGTGGTGCCCTGTGCTTCATAGGGAGGTTTTAGGCTCTTAAATGTGTCCTTCAGTCCTTCACGAAGGATTTATGGTACAGCTGCTGCCCCAGGGGTATCTCTGTAATGGGAAGGCAGCCCTGGAGCTTGCAGTATTCAGCTCTTTGAGCTCTGAGTCCTCCCAATAGCCTGAGGTCTGAATGGGAGGACCTTGGGCTTGCCAGGGTGCTTTGCTAACGCAGATGCCTCAAGTCCTGGCTTCAGGTGTAGTGACTGAACTGGGAGCTGAACTGGACTGATAGGTCCTCTGGAGTGTCATGATAGGACAAGGGGTGATGGGTTCAGACTGAAACAGGGCGAGTTCAGGTTGGAGATAAGGCAGAAGCTCTTCCCTGTGAGGGTGCTGAGGCGCTGGCACAGGGTGCCCAGTGAAGCTGTGGCTGCCCCATCCCTGGCTGTGTTCTGCCCAGCTCCTCTTCTGGGCTGGCCGCATCCAGACAAGCTCCTGCACCCCTGCAGTTCCTCCTGCTGGCAGGGGAGGCTGCTGGATGAGCCGGCTGTGCCAGCTGCCATTAGCATTCCCCCATGGCTGCCTCCTCATCTCACCCTGGTGTGGGCTGGGAGCAGGATGCCAGGAGTTCCCAGTGGCTTCCCCTTCCCAGAGCCCCGCTGGAGCAGGTAGCCTGGAGCAATAGGCATGATGCACACACGTCCTCCTTTAGAAGCTTGTTCTCCTCTCCTTTATAATGCCAAGAAGAGCGTGAAGCTGAGGAGGTGACTTGGAGGGCAGGCAGGAAAACTGGCCAAAAATCCAGCCTGCAGGTTTTGTGGTGCCCTTGAGAACAGGCTGAGGGAGTTTCCTATGGATAAGGGGATTATCCACATAAGGGGCACGGGATTTGGCAGCGAGCTCTCTGTGTCCTGACTGCTGAGCTGAGGAACAGCAGCAGCTGGTGCCTGAATCAGGATGGATGGATCCCATCCCGTCATCAGCCTGAAAACAGTCTCTGCTTTGAGCTTGGAAGGAATGAGGGCTGAAAGGTGGCACCAGTTGCATGCTCAGCTGCTTTAGCCCCATCTTCTCCCCTTACCCATGGTCTTCCCTGGAAGTTGAGTGTAAAAGCAGGTTAGTATGAATTGGAGCTGCAGGCCTGGTCAATCTTGCTTGTTGCGTGTCTCTTGCAGTGGGCAACACTGAGAATAGAGCGTGGTGCCAAGGAGAAGAACCATCCGTTATACAAGCCCTATGTCAATGGTAAGGTCCTGCTCTGCATGGCTACACATGGGGTAAATGTGGGGTCTCAGAGCTGGGAAGCCTTTTCCATGTAGATGGCTTGGAGGGAGCTATTTAGAGGTCCATTTCTTAAGGAAGAGGTGGAAAGCATGCAGGGAATGCTCAATAGCTTGATGATTGGGAGGACTGGAGGAAGGAAGGGAGCCTATGGAGGGTCTTTGAGCACTTTGTTCAGAGCTGCTTGTCTTGCAGGTATCATTGCAAAGGAGCCAACATCACTGGAAGAGGAGATCAAGGAGCTCCGCCGGAGCGGCAGCGGCAAATCCCTGGATACCCCTGAGTTTGAGCTCTCAGATATCTTCTACTTCTGCCGCAAAGGCATCGAGACCATCATGGATGATGAAGTGACCAAAAGGTTCTCAGCTGAAGAGCTGGAATCCTGGAATCTGCTCAGCAGGACCAACTACAACTTCCAGTACATCAGCCTGCGCCTCACTGTGCTCTGGGGTCTGGGTGTGCTGATCCGTTACTGCTTCCTTCTGCCCCTCAGGTGAGCGGAGCTGCAGGAACCTGCCTGCTGGGATGGGGCTGGTGGACGGCCCCCAAGTGCAACTGGTCCCCAAGCCCCATGGAGCCTGTTCAACATGACCAGGAGAGACAGGCTACTTGATGAGCAGCACCTATGGCCTTGTACTAGTGCGTAGCTTCCTTCTTTCCGCAGGATAGCCCTGGCGTTCACTGGCATCAGCTTGTTGGTGACTGGTACTACAGTGGTGGGGTATTTGCCAAATGGAAGGTGAGTTCACCTTGGAGGGAGGAGGGGATGGGATGGGAGCCATACTCCTGGATGAGATGTGTTTCTATGGGAAGGCTCGGCTGGATCGCGTGGCCTGGGGCTGGGTGGTGCTGTTACAGGGGGATGTTGCAGGACAGGGGGTGATGGTTGCTCTCCTCAATGCAGGTGTAAAGAGTTCCTGAGCAAGCACGTCCACCTGATGTGTTACCGGATCTGTGTGCGTGCCCTCACAGCCATCATCACCTACCATGACCGGTAAGGAGGCCCTGACTGCTGCAGGCTCCTTCCCAGCCCCATGCCAGGCCTCACGCTTCCCTCCTGCCTCCTCACCTCTGCCTTTGTTTTGCATGTAGAGAAAACAGACCCCGCAATGGAGGCATCTGCGTGGCAAATCACACCTCTCCCATCGACGTGATCATCCTGGCCAGCGATGGCTACTACGCCATGGTGAGCTCTGCTCCCCAGCCCTGCCTGCACCAAGGCAGGAGCACCAAGCACGTTGCATGGGACAAGGAGTAGGCGGCAAGAGGCTTTGGAGGATGTCTCAGCCCCTGTGCACGGATACCTTGTGGTGTGTGGCTTTCAGCCTGGGACTCAAAGCACCAGGCTTTGCTTTGCAAGTAGAGCTCTGGGCTTTGCTATCCATGGAAGAGCAAAGCACTTCCCAGTTGGATCCCCTGCAGTGTGGGAAGCACTGGGGCTTGCTACATCTGGCTTTCCATCAGAGCCTGGGACTTCTCCTCTCAGCCGTTCCAGGGCAGGGGTAGAAAGATGGACCTCAGCTTGGCTGTGAAGCCAAGGAGCTGCCTTGGCTTTCATGTGTGCTTTCATGTAACTCGTGTCTTCTTGCCCTGCCCAGGTGGGTCAGATCCACGGGGGGCTCATGGGGGTGATACAGAGAGCCATGGTCAAGGCCTGTCCCCACGTCTGGTTTGAGCGCTCTGAGGTCAAAGATCGTCACCTCGTCGCAAAAAGGTGGGAGAGCTGCAAACCTGGGGGGGTCTGAGGGATGGAAAAGGGGGTGCTGCCCCTGCCTCACCTCCTGGGTGCTGGGACGCTGTGCTGCTGGCCCCACATGGTCTCCAGGATAAGGCCTATGCTGTGCAGTGGCGCTGTGCCCCATGCTTATAGGTGCCACTCTCCTGTTTAGGCTCACAGAGCACGTCCAGGACAAGAGCAAGCTGCCCATCCTTATCTTCCCAGAAGGTGAGTTGTGGAGCAAGGCCAGGCAAGCACCTGGTGGAGAGGGCCATCATCATCCCCGTTCCTTCCCTTCTTGTGCAGCCAAGGGCCTTGGGACCCTTCGCTGAGGCAAAGGGGGCATTTAGAGCTGACTGAGCGCAGAATGTGAGGTCAGATACTTGATGTCCCTGTGACACATCCATGCACAGGGAGAGCAGGGTTTGGAGGGTGTGTTAGGGGTGGTCCCTGGGTGCCTGTGGGTATATAGCTTAGCCTTGTGAACTGCTTTGCCTCTTACAGGGACCTGCATCAACAACACATCCGTGATGATGTTCAAAAAGGGGAGCTTTGAGATTGGAGCCACGGTTTACCCTGTAGCCATCAAGGTAAACGTCCTTACTCACACACAGGCTGTGGCTCAACAGCCTGGTCCGAGGCCACGGGGAAGTGGAGGGCTCCAGGAGGGCTTAGAGGGAACCTGGAGCCTCAGGAGGGTGCCAGCCTCTCAGGAGCTCTTCTGCCTTGTGCAGTATGACCCGCAGTTTGGAGATGCCTTTTGGAACAGCAGCAAGTATGGCATGGTGACCTACCTCCTGAGGATGATGACCAGCTGGGCCATCGTCTGCAGCGTCTGGTACTTGCCTCCGATGACCAGGCAGGTAAGTTTGGTGATGCTGGGCTCCCTCATCTGCTGCCTTTTGTGCTCCTGCTGAACCACTTTTCTTTGCCACAGCCTGAAGAGGATGCTGTCCAGTTTGCCAACCGAGTGAAGTCAGCCATTGCCAGGCAGGGGGGCCTCGTGGATCTGCTCTGGTGAGTCTAGGAAAGAGTTTCTGTTCCTGGTGTTGGGGTTCCTTGTGCCTGGGCCCTGGTATGTGCTTGAGGGCTGCAGAGCTGTTTGTCTTGCATTGGGCAGAGTAGGCCTCTGCAGAAATGGAGATACACCTTGCCTGTGGCCTCCAAAGCTGCTCTTCTGTAGCAGGGAGCAAAGCCTTTGCTTCTGCTGTGTGTGTTGGGCATCGTGGCTTCACTCTGCCCTTCAGCTGGCACTGGCATGCTCGGCTGTTGACTCGATGCTGCTCAGCAAAGTGCAGTGGGCTTTTCCATGCACTGAGATGTTGGGTGCCTGGGAGGCAGAGGGACTCTGCTGCAGTGGTGTCAGAGCAGCTCACGCTCCTGAGGGCACAGTGTGGGGCCATGGGGGAGCTCCGGGCAGAGCAAGGTGTGAACATCACTGCCCTTGGGGACAGACACAGGAGCCCTGGCAATGAAAGGTGCAAGCATAGCTGCTCTGAGCAGCCCCAGCTGAGGTTTCCTCTCATGGCCTGACTCTCCCCCTTAGGGATGGAGGCCTGAAGAGGGAGAAGGTGAAGGACACGTTCAAGGAGGAGCAGCAGAAGCTCTACAGCAAAATGATTGTAGGGAACCATGAAGACCGGAGCCGCTCCTGAGCCCTCCCCTCCAACGCTGCTCCTGGGCCTGGCCAGAGCCCTCTGCCTCGAGCACGAGCCAGGGCTCGCCTGAAGCAGCTCCGCATCGTTGGACTTTGGCTGCTCGGACTCGCTCCTGCATCCTCTGGCTGTGCTTTCCCAGAGGCACCGTTATTGCTGCCTGGAGCCCCGGCGCCCTGGGCAGCTCGTGGCAAAGATGCCTTCTTGTTACTGTTACAGTGAAGCCCCTTGAGGGGGCCAGTATTAAATGAAACACTTCTGGTGTCGTCCGCTTCCATGTGGTGTGTGCAGGGCCGGGGGGGCTCTGCTGTTGATGTGCACGAGTGGCAATCACTGCACTGGAATCAGCTGCCTTGACAGCCGAGGGGCTCTGCATGAGCCTGCGCCTCTCACGCCTGCAGCAGAAGCTCCTTAGGAGCAGGACGTGGTCTTTGAGGCCATTTCCAGCTTTACTTCCAAAAGGAGAAACCTTTTCCTTTCTTTTTCCCTTTGGCCACCTCCTGCCAGAGCCTGGCCCAGGCCTTTGCTGCACCAGCATCTGAGTAACAGCCTCTTTGCTGGGGTTCCTCAAGTGGTGGGGCAGGAGCCCCCCTTCCCAGTGCTTCCTGAGGGAAACAGTGGGGTCTGATCTTGTAAAGCACCAACATGCACAAGCATCATCTCAGCTTGTTGCAAGGAAACTGAAGTCTTGTGCTGGAGATTGGACCCCTTGTGTGTATTGCTCAGTAAAACAGCTCACGTTTGAGCATCCATCCCGTGGACTTCCCCATTTCCCTTATGTTCCTACAAACTCTTGCATCTGTTAACATTGGGGAGATATTTCTATACTGAACTGATTCCCTTTTGCTTCTTGCAGTGCTCAAAGTATGATTCTTTAGGTAACTACGCAGAGGGATGCATTACCTGCACAGACGTGGCATTCAGTTTTCCTTTCCACCTAAGACACCAAACCCAGAGCAATAAAACCAAGCAGATGATAGAATCATAGAACCAGAATGGTTTGGGTTGGAAAGGACCTTGAGATCATCCAGTTCCAACCCCCTGCCATGGGCAGGGACGCCTCACCCTAGACCATGATAGCACCAGTGGGTTGAAGTGTGCTGCTGATGCTCCTGTACTCATTGCTAACACTCTCCGTTGCCTCATCAGTTTATTGTGGCATTAGGGGCTTATTCACCAGGGTTTGGGTTCACTTTGGTTTTACCCAGCTCCCACCACGAGTTCAGAAGCCCCCCATCCATGGCTGTTACCAGATGAGGCTGTTGTGCAGCCCTTAGCTCCTTGGCAGTTGGGTTTTTGACCATCACCATTCATCTGCATAGGAAACCCTGGGTGTAGCGTTATGGGAGCAAACCTGGAGTGTGTGTTACCTGCAGGACTTAACCTGGACCATTCCACCACACATTATAGGAGCTCTATGTGCTCCAGTGCCTGCTTGAGCCCTCTGCTTGCCCATAGCGCTACCCCTGCCCTCCACAGTATACCTGTAGATCCCCCCAGGGGCAATGATCCAACCCTGCCTTTGCCTACCTGAGCTTTGCTGCACTGACCCCACTGCTCCCCCTTTGCTGGGGCTCCTGCAGCAGCCCCCCTGGGCGCTCCTTGCCACAGATCCACGGGGATGTGCTGGAGCATCTCCAGCTCTGCGGGTCCCGCTGCGCTGGGGACCGTCCCCATCAGGCGCGCAGGGAGCCAGGTTAGGAGGCACGCATCCATCCATCCTGCCTCGCGCCCCCTCCCCGCGCCCCCACTCAATAACGTCTCTCTCCGGTGAGAAAGTTAATAAATTTAGCTCTAGATTAAAAGTATCGATCATTTCATTTGTAAGCGATAAATAACGGGGCGGGGGGGGCACGGGGCAGCCCACGGGGTAGGGGCTGCTGGCTCCGGCTGCAGCAGCCGTGCAGCCCGCTGGGGCTGGGGGCCTTCATATGCATTCTGCCGGGCTGCTGGCATTGATTTGCTATTAGTCTCCACACACCACCCAGTAGCACATCATTCCCGCAGCCGCTATTAATGGCCTTTTGATAAATAATCACTTGTAAGTCAATAAATTTTTATTAAACAGTGTGGCGCTTTGATTTATGGAAATCCGACGGGGTTTGTCTGCGCGAAAAGGGATGCGGAATTGAAGCGGAGCTGCCATCCATCTGCCTGCCAGGCCCTGCTGCACCCACCCGCCCCGGGGCCACGGCGTGCTTGGGGCAGCCCGAGCTGGTGCTCATCGCTGACACGGGCTCTGTGCCGGTACCCGCTGCTGCCGCTGCAGGGCCACGGTGCATCCGCACCCCTTTGGTACCCGCTCGGTGCCGCTGCGCCCGCAGGGATGCGGCTGTGATTTGTCACTCTGCGTGTCTGCAGGAGGCCCTTTGCCACCTGCTTTATTTGTCTCCCGGCCCTGACGTGGCATCAGACAGGTGTTAAAGTACTTAATCACTTTAAAATTGTTTTAATTTTCTGTTTCCTATTGATCTGCACAGCACCAATCCATCAGCTCACTGGACCAGGCAGTTAGTACATTAAAAATTGTCAGCCACGCCGCGCCAGCTTAGAAAATGTCAAAAGAATGCCCCAACAGCATCCCACCGCGTGGAGCCGTGACGTGGATCTTCCCGCTTGCCCCTAGGACCCATGCCCACCATGGCTTTGCAAAGTGTCCCCCAGCTCTGCCACCCGTTTGTCCCGTTGAGGTAGCACGATGCTTCCTGTGGGGTTGGACAAGGAGCTATGGGGGGAAATCAGTGTTCTTCAAGTGGTGGGAAAGTGCTGCCCCATAGTCAGGGCCCATTGTAAAGTGTCCCCAGCCCAGGTAATGATAGAACGTGACAGAATGGAGCCTCCCAAATGTGGGCCTTGGGGTGCACGCGGATGGATCTGCAGCCCCAAACCACGAGGCCACCGCAAACCCCATTCTGGGGGCTTCGGGACTTGGCCACCAGCTTAACCTCAGGTGCTGGCCATGGCTGCAGGGAAGGGCCCTTTGGCTGCACCCCCCCAGCCCCGGTGCGGATCAGCGTGTGAGGGGCCGGCAGCACCTTATCTCCTATCGATTTCCTCCCAAGACACAGCGCTCTGTTTGCTCACCCTTGGCTCACCGCTCAACAACGGCCCCAGCCCTGTGCCCGCAGCAGCCCCTTTGGCACCCGGGTGGTTGTTGGGGGACACCGAGCCCTGCGTGGCACCGCCATGGGTGTGCAAGGGCTGAGCCATGGGGAGCCCGGGATATGGGGGTGCAGCCCCATGGGTGTGTAAGCACAGCCCTGCACGGGGGGGGGGGCACCAGCTTGGCAAGCAAACACAGCAGGGCTATTGACGCCACATCAATCCTGCAGCCCCGACAGCTGAATGGGCTCTCACACACACCGTTAAGATAAATGGTATTTATTTGCTGCTAAGAGGTTCCAACAAGAGGCCCCAACGAGTGACTTTTGAACCAGCGCCTCTCGCTGCTGCTGCACGCCCAGCACCAGGGGAGAAACCCTGCGAAACAGCCCCAAAAGCTGTCCCGCACCTGCGGGCTCTTCCTGCCCCGCACTCACACCGCAGCCGCAGCCCCTACCCCTGCCTGGCATGCTGACCCTGCCCCATACGTGCTAGCCCCAGCCCCATGAAGCAAGCGCTGGGACTTGGCTGGGGCCGGGACCTTTATTTCATCGCCTCCTTGTGCTGCCCCTTGTGCTCGCTCCCAACCCCGAGAGCCACGCTCCCTGCGCAGGATGCGGGGCAGCGGCCGCCCCGTCCCGCAGCTCAGCCGCTGTGCGTGCCCAAGCCCTGCATGGAGAAGGCGGCGCGGTGCTTCCTCAGCAGCAGCCGGATCTTCTCATCATCCGAGTCGGGGTCCAAGGGCTTGTTGTATTCATCATCCTCAGCCTCAGAGGCTGCCCGCTCCCCGCCAGAGCCCCCCGCCCGCTGCGAGGACGAGGAAGGCTCCAGCGCGCTCTTCTTCCTCCATTTGGTCCGGCGGTTCTGGAACCAGACCTGCCCACGCCCATGGGCACGGCCGGGTTAGCGGCCACCGATGGCGGTGCGCTCGGTGCCGCGCCTGGGGACCCACACTCACCTTCACCTGGGACTCGGTCATGCCGAGGGAATAGGCCAAGCGGGCTCGCTCCGGCCCCGCCAGGTACTTGGTCTGCTCAAAAGTCTTCTCCAGAGCGAAGATCTGGTGCCCCGTGAAGGTCGGGCGCGTGTGCTTCTTCTTGTGGATGCTGTCAGCGAGGTGAGCAGGGGCTGCGGAGAGGAGGAAGAGGAGGGTGAGAACCAGGGCTCACTGCAGTGCCCGGCTCCGGGCGTCTCTCCCTGACCACAGCACTGAGCTCCATCAGAGTCTCTCTGTGCTGCCTCCCCTCTGCCTGCATCAACCCCATGTTCTGGCTTCAAGGCTTCAGCCCCATCCCAAGAGGGCTGAGCTGCCCTCCGTGCGGGCCCCATAGCCGGGGGCTCACGTCCTGCTCGAGGACAGCACTGATGGGTGCTGACTGGGGGTCACTAAGCAGCGCATGACCGCAGAGCCGTGCAGCACCCAACCCCGCGTCCCCTGCCCCGCACCTTGCAGGACGCAGGACGGAAGGCAGGCAGAGCTGGTCGGCTCGAAGCTGTGCTGGGAGCAGACACCTGAGCTGCCCGACCCGTCTGCTCCAAGAGCATCACCTGGAGAGGGGAAGGGACCGTGGCTGCGGGTGCTGAGCCCCAGAGCCCCCCATGGGACAAGGGGTGCCCCCATCCCACCCATGCGATGTGCTCCAGGGTCCCTCCAGCTCTCTCCAGTGCTGCCTAGAGCTGGGCACTGACCCCAGTGGGATATGATCTCCAGGACCATGGGCTCTGCCTGTCCTTGCCTAGGGGCTGAGCAAAGAGTTAATCTCTCCCATTGGAGCAGCTCTTGAGCCAGCACCTCCGCAGCTCTGGACTGCTCCCACCGTCCATCAGCTCCGGTGCTGGGACCATTCCCACCATCCATCATCTCTGGACCGTTCCCACCACCCTTCAGCGCCGGTGTTGGGGCCATCCCTATGGCAGCCTCATGGGACGCTGGCCAAGGTGCAGCCTGGGCAGTGCCCCCCATTGCCAACATACGGGGCTCTATGGGGCACCTGCATCTCCCGCCCATCACCGCCCGCCCGGCCCCGCTGTACTTACGGCCGCCGCACTGCCGGGCACCCCTCCAGTCAGGGGCTGCCTCTGCCCAGCAGCTCCGGCCCCGCGGCAGGAACTCGCTGCCGGCCTTGGGAAGAGCCCCCACCTGCGCTCCATAATAGACACCGGTGGAGCTCAGTCCGTTCAACGCGCCCGCGTGGGGGTAGCTGGGGACGATGCTGCCGCCCGCGGGACGGCTCAGGATGTCGGAGATGCCGTGCGGGGTGCCCAGCGCCGGCGGGCACAGCTTGTAGAAGGAGCTCTGCACCGAGTACTGGCAGACGGGCGCCTTGGCCTCGGGGAAGGCACCCAGCGCGGGGCCGTTGAGCAGGAAGGTGCCGGGCAGGTTGGCATCCATGGCGCTGCCGTCGAGGCGCCCCTCAGCACCCGGCTGCCCTCGGGGGGCGCAGCGGCCGCCCCATCCCCACCGCACCGGGGGGTGCAGCCCCGGGCTCCGCGCCGGGTCGGTACCGGACCCTCAACTTGGGCTTGGGGAGCGCCAACATTTCTCTGATAAGGATGAGGTCCATTAGAATACTGCGCTCCCATTGGCTGCTCGGGCGGCCGCTTCCTCTGCCATTGGCCCGCTCTCCGCGGTCTCGGCCGCCATTGGCTGAGCCGCTGGGGCACCCCGCGATTGGCCCGGCCCAGACAAATTGCGCTTTGAAAGCGGCGGCGGGCGCTGGACAGCGCCCGGGGTGGGGGGCAGAGCGGCGTGCGATTGGCTGCTGGGGGGGCCAGGCCGCGACGGGATTGGCTGCGGGGCCGGGAGGGGCGGGGCCGGGCGCTGTCCAGCGCGGTCCCGGTGCCCCGCAGTGGGGCTGAGCAGCGCGGTGCGGAGCCCCCGGCACCCTCCGGGCTCCCCCATCACCAGCGGCCGCTGCCCCCCTTGGACCGGGCACAACGGGGCCCCTCCAATCCCCGGTCCTTCCCGCACGGTCGGAGAAGCAAGAGCCGAGAGACCGGGAGTGTGTTGGTTTCTTTATTAATCCATAGTCCGATAGCTGGTGTATAGGGGAACGATCTATACATCAGGGGCTACGACAGGGAGATCCAAAAGGCTCGTTTCCATCACAATTAAAAAAAGGAAATTAAAAGTAATTGGTTAAAACTTCTAAAAAGCTTCTAGTGTGCAGGCTGCGGCATTCTCTAGGCTCAGTGTCGGGTGCAGCCTCCCCCTACCAGCCCTACAAGCAATCTGAGCGCAAAGCGATGTTCACCGCAGGGGTCTGGCGCGGTTGCAGCGCGGCACATTCCCTAAGGCGTCTACGAGGCCAAAGCACAGGACCCACACACAACTCTACGGTGATGCTACGGAGGCAGCTGCGGCAGTGGGTCTGGGGAGGTCACTGTACACAGCGAGGGCGATGGATGGAGAGTCTGTGCCTTTTATGGCTCAACTTCGGGGTGGGGAAGGGGCTGCTTTGCTCTCCAAGGCTGAGCTGGGTCGTTTGCTTTGCTGCAGTTCGGCTTCCCCCCCGCCCCGAGCACACATGGGGCTGCCCTGCCTGGAGCTGGACGTGGGCTCCTTCTGCACGTGGCCACAGAGAGAAAACTCGGGCTCCACGGCCACCTCCAGGGCAAAGAGCAAGGGGTCCCCACACCCCTGTGCTCCAAGGGCCAGGCCTCCCACTGCTAAAGGACAGAGTCGGGGACATGGGACCTATTGCCGCTACCTGCACCCTGTGCTCTCCTGGGATCAGGTACTGCAGCAGATCCAACCTCCTGCACCGCTCAGAGCTGCATGGGGGGCTCTGCCCGATGCTGCCCTCCTGCTAGAGCAGCCCCCCCCACAGGGCTGCCCTGGCTTGGGGCGGGGGGGAGCAGCCCCCCATGCCTCTGGGCTTGCTGACCCTCCCAGGAGCATCCCCAGGGCCACTGGGCTCAGGGGGTGCCTGCAAAGCCCTTGCACAGCGTGCGTAGTGCAGCTCCTGGCTCATCTCCTGAGCGGATATTGTGCTGAGTAGAGCTAGACACAACCCTGTATGTGGCACAAGCGTCCCCTGCTCTGTCTCATCACCCGTCCTCCCTGGGCCCCAAGCACCTCAGCACAGTCCTAAAGCTTCACCAACACAAAGTGGGGTTTGCGCCATGGGCAAACCCTCTGTCAGACCAGGAAGGGACCGGGCTCAGCCGAGGGCCACGGGGCAGCCCGCAGCCCTTCCACTGCCTCCCCGCTCCATTCACCAGAGCTGCTCAAGTACCCCAGACGGTTTTTGCCTGTCCTGCAGCCTGAAGAGGTATTTGGGAGCAGAGCTGCGAGTGCTTTGTACATACTGCTAGAGTGTCCCTAGGGGTTTGCATAGTATTTATTGTTCATATACACAAGGCTGATAGATTGCTGTACAGTTTACACCTCCAACACAAGCAACGAGCTCAGCGCTCAGCCCAGAGCCCTGCCCTGGCCGGAGCCGTTGCCTGCGCTGGGGAGCGGATGGGCAGCCCTGCACCGGCCCCTCTGCCCAGGGCAGTTGTGCTCCCTGCACCCCTCTGCTCCCCCCAAACCCAGCACTCACGGAGCGGGATGAGAAGCGAGTCCAGCAGAGGCAGCACTGGCGATGCGGGGTGTGTGTGTGTGGGGGGGGAGCCCCTCTCCTCGAGGTGAGCAGCTCCGCGCTGCCCCAGCCTCCCTCTTGCAGCTGGAGCACGGGCACAGGGATGCCTTCGCCCACCTCTCGGCTGCTGGCTCTTGCCTCCCGCGGGAGCTGAGAGGATGCCCCGGGTGCGTGCTGCTGCCCCTGGGCTCTGGCAGCAGTGGGGCAGGGATGGAGCCCCCTCCCCGCCCCGCCGCCGGTTGTAAGTACTGTAGCTCATGCGTCTTGCAGTCAGTCAGTCATGCGGATAGGACGGTAAGTATGTCTCATACAGAAATCATGCCATTAGCCTATAGAAACATGTACAGCCAGCCCTGCTCCCCTCCACTCTCTGTTCTCCTCTCCTCCCCTCCTCAGGTATGTGTCAGAACGTGTGTGGAGTTCAGTGGTTTGGTGTTGAGGTGAGATCCTGGAGACATACAGGGAGAGACAGAGATGAGGTTAGCAGGCACAGCTGAGGAAAACCCATGGAGGCAGGCAGGTAAAGGCAGTCCCAGCCCCTTCTGCACCCTGTGCTTGTCGCACGCACCCATCCTGCCTCAATACAAGCGTTTTGGGGGTGTGTGTGTGTCAGAGAGACAGCAAGAGAACACCAGTACGTGCCCTGCATGGAACAAGCAGCAATGGCATAGATGGTATTGGCTGTGCGGAGCACGGCAAGTGGGAGCTGAGCTGCGCAGTGTGGCACTGGGAAGGAGCTGGGAGGGCTGCTGCAGGCTCTGGGGTAGAGGAGGCCAGGCCAACCACCTCACTCACAGCCGTGGGGAAGACCCCATACATTCCCAATGCACCCTGGGCCCTTCCACATGCTACTCGTGACAGCAAGAGCAGCAGGAGCACTGCCCCAGGGAGAGGCAGACCCAGGGGCTGTCTGGGGAATGGGGTGGGCAGCAGCTATGGGACGTGGTCCGCATTGAACATGCCTCCACAAGCACAAACCTCTTGACTGCCGTGCACCCACAGAGAGCCCACACACACAGTGAAGAGCAGTGAGAGGAGGACAGACAGACACAGCCATGCGTGTACAGCAGAGGCCAGAGGACTGGGGCAGCCAAGAGAGCCGTGCTGCACTGGGGGCCAACTGCACTGTGCCGGGAGACCAAGGCAGGGGGAACGCACAGGACTCAAGGATGATTCAGTGCTCGCACTGGGGATCGCTGCTAGAAATGTCCTGAGCCAAAGCCAAGCTCCTGCCCTCCCGTTCCTGCATCCCCACTGCCCTGATGCTGCCCAGCAGCGCCCTGCCGTGCCCTGCACCCCGGGCCCGTCCATAGGGGCTCCAGCGGAGCTCGCTGCCGCCCTCTGGTGCCGGCTGCGGGGATGGCAGCGGCCGTGCCCGGCGCAGCGTCCGGCCCTAGGCTCTGCCGCCGCCCCACGCACCCTGCGAGGGTGAAGCCGGGCACCAGGCTGCGAGGAACGGTCTCATCTGGCACATGAGGGGGGCACCACTGCTCAGGCCCCATGCAGACGCTATCCCCCCATGCAGACGCTATCCCGCTCCCTTGTGCGGCTTTGGACACAGATCATCCCTCTGCTGCAGCCCAGTATAACCAGTACAGCCCTTGGGGACCAGTACCCCGCGTACCCGAGGTGCTGTGACTGGCCCTGGCACGGTGGTCACAGTGGAGTGCTGAGCATGGAGGCTGGCACGGTGCTGTAGAGCGGCACCCTGTGCCCACTGCACCCACTGCACCCGCTGCACCTCCTGCGCCCACTGCACCTGCTGCATCCCAGCATTGGTTTAAGCGTCAGAGGCTCGCCTCTGCCTACTCGCAGCATTTTGCTGCGGCATAATAACCCCTCTCTGCACGTTTCCCCAGGAGGATGTGCATGAGCAGCAGCTCAGTGCAGGCAGCAGCATGGGGAGCTGGGACAGAGGGAAAGAGCAAAGGTGGGGTTACCTCCAAAGAGGCCATTTGAGGGGTCACTGCTTCCCCCTTTTCAGGCTGGCTCGTTTCACTATCTGAGCCCCCATCCTGCCCCCGGAGAGCTCTGGTTTCGGGACACGCACTCGCACCTCCTCCTGAGGAAGCCGCAGGGGCAGGAAGCAGGACATCACCCGGGTGAACAGACACACACATACAGAAGAGGACAGGAGAGGGAAAAGCAGAGTCAGTTGGCAGAAGAACATCGAGCAAGACGACTGGAGCAGTGGGCAAGAGCCGCCCCTGGAAGCCTTAGAGGGGAAACAGGAGAGGAGAGCAGGGCAGAAGAAAGGACAGAGGGTGGTGGAACCGCAGAGCCTGCAAGGCAGGGCTATGAGCCACACTGTACCTTGGCCCCCAGCCCGTCCCGGTGCAGGATGGAGTACTTCATAAAGTGATCATCCTCAGCCTCCAGGTCATGGGGGTCCCCCTCTAGCACCAGCTCCTCCTGCTCCTGCGTGTCGCCGGGGCCGAGCTGCCGCACCACCTTCCTGATGACCTGCGGCGAGCCGCGCAGCGGGTGTCACCGCTCGCACTGCGGCTCCGTGCCTCCCTCCTTGCCCAGCCTGCCCATGGACCGCACGCGGTGCGCAGCCTCTGCCCCATGCCGTGCGCACGGGGGGGGGCTGGAGCGGTGCCGTGACCGTAACCGAAGACGGCCGGGTACGGGTGGCCCTGTGCGGGGCCCCGGCGCTGCCAGGACGGGCAGGGCAGAGGGAGAGGAGAGCGGCCTGCCCGCGGTCACTCACCTTCTTGGTGATGATATTGCCGTGATCATCCGTGAACTGCTCCTCCGTCACCTGCTCTCCAGGGAGCTGAAGGACTTCATTCCCCTGCGGGGCACAAGGGGGGACGTCAGGGGGGGCTGAGAGGAGCCGCTCCGCATGCAGAACACCCCTGGCGCCGCGCACCCTGCAGCCTCTGCCTCTTCCCACCCTGCTCCGCTCCTTCACTGCTCTGCTGCATCCACCCTGGACGGGCTCTCGTTACCTTCACAAGGACGCGCCGGCGGACGACCCTGGTGGAGAGAGCCTCCTCGTCGTCCGCCAGCCCCTGGCTCTCCCCGAGCTCCTTGTCCAGCTCGTGGTGGGCATGTTTGAGCAGGAAGCAGACGGAGCCCCTGACGATGTGCATGACGTTCTGGCAGCTGACCAGGAAGAAGGCCAGCAGCACCAGCG